AAGTAATGATTAAATCAGTACTTCAAGCAATCCTTGCTTATTGCATGAGTGCCTTCTTCCTCCCAACCTTCATCAAAGATTAGATCCAAAAGATGATGAACTCATTTTGGCGAGATACATGTACAACCCTCAACAACAAAAAAAAAGGCATCGATTGGTTAAGTTATGGGAAAATTAATTAATTAACCACAAGAAAGGAACATGGTGGCCTTGGCTTCCGAGACATCCATACTTTTAACCTTTCCATGTTAAGGAAAAAAGGTTGAGAATCCTCTCTGACTCGAATGTTACGATAGCTATAGTCCTCAAAGTCAAATATTTTAGGTCATCCTAGGTTATAGTACGTGAAGGCTATAGATGGAGATTAGGAAATGACCAAAGCACACAAGTTTGTATGGATCATGGCTATGCGAACATGACAAACCCTACATACAATCAAACAAAGATCCAACGCCAAAAAGGATGAAAGTTAAGGCACTCATTGACTGCAACCACTACTACTGGAAGAATGAACTCCTAATCATATTTTTTAACCCTTGCAACATAGGAGCTATCACCAACATCCCTATCATAGATCCATTTTATAAGGATTCTACATATGGAGACTAACTAGGGATGGTAACTACTAAGTCAAATCATCTTATCACCATCTTAAGGAATCCATAATTGATAGCAACAAATTGCACATCCTAGGAAAATGAAACTTAATATGGAAGATAAAAGCCCCCCACATGTGAAAAACTTCATATGGCATGTATGCAAAAGCTGCATTCCAACTTGCACCAATGTAAAGGTGTACCATGTCAAGTGTCTTGCTTGTTCTACGAGACAAACCTTGAGACGTATGGATATTGGCCAACCTTTGGAACAAACTCCAACTTCATATGCTAAATGCTTAATCTTTCAGTGAAGTGATCTTTGACTTTTATGACAAGGGAACTGCTAAATGGACATCCTTATTCTCCCACATTCTCTAGAGCATCTGGAAGCATATGCTTTAATATGGGAAAACAAACCCATTATATTGAGCAGTGTAATCGCCGAAGCCAAAAAAGTACTACATAGTTAGAATAAGGCAAACTATAAAGTCAAAATCCCAATCCACACGACACAATGCTAGCAACCCCCCAAATGGACTCTCCCAACAAAAATACCCTAAAAAACATCATGGATGCAACCTTTTACAAGGACAACAACAACCTTGCACTAGTGCAAACTATGAAATCTACATCAGCCTATTCTCGTCGGACATACAAATATCTGATGTAAAAAAATACAATGATAATTTTGAAAATAAAGAAAAAAAATTTTACGTCAGGTTACATTTGGGCCAACGTAAAATTGAAAATCTACGTCGGATGAGGGATATAATCGACGTAGATTTTCAATTTTACGTCGGTCCAAGTGTAGTCTGACGTAAAATACCTTTTTATTTCCCTCCAGACACTTCATCTTCTTCGCGCACGACATTTGTTCACACAATACAACAAGCTTTTTAATCGTGGTGTGATTTCTGACGAGGCTTTGTCGACTTCGTTTGGGTATTTTCAGCCACTCTACTCTCCGGCGAACGGCTTCGCGACATCTGTGGGGTGTTTTCGACATTGTGACCGATTGCATTGGGCATTTGAGGTTAGTATATATATTTGAGGGTTTTGAACGAGCCATTTGTGGTTGCTTTTGTTTTGAGGGTTTTGAATGAACCATTTCTGGTTGCCTTTGTTTTGAGGGTTTTGAACGACCCATTTCTGGTTGCCTTTGTTTTTGTTGATGCATTCGTCATCCACATGCTATATTTCTGGTTGCCTTTGTTTTGCTATTGTATATTTGGGTTGTGCAAAACGTGAAGTTTCAAGAAACTTAGTTGAAACCTCAACTTAATCTTTTGCACTTGTTGAGTTTTTCGGTTAGCCTTTTTTTATTTTTATTTATATTCATTTAATCAATTTTAAAAATAAAACATAATGTTATAAATATTAATTACAATACGTATGTTGTATATTAAAATAAATTGTTCAAAAAGGCAATTAATAATATAATTTTTTGTTTTATATTAAAATAATATTAATTACAATACGTATGTTTTTGGTCTCTCTTAGTACATTTGAACTACATAAACTAGTTACCAACATGAATTGGAAAGGTGATAAAATAGGTTATAAAATAAGTTTTAAGATAGTTTGGTAGAAGTTTTAATTTTTTAAAGTTTTAACCAACATAAAAATTAAACTTCTACCAAACTTAGAACTTTATTTTAAAGATTTAAATACAATTAAGATTTTCTTTCTTGTTCAATTTTTTTGGTATTAAGTGAGATCATACACCCCTTACACTAAGAACTATATATTTCAAACATGAAATTTATAAACTTAAATATTTATAAATGATCTAATAAATTTAAATTTAATTCAACTTTATAAAGTTAATATGAGATAATTTTTATAAATTAACCTATGTATAAATTAATTTTAACTTATGAAAAACTAATTTCATTTTATTTATAAGTACTTTTAAAGAAATTTATTCAAATACACTTATAGATAAAAATAGAAAGGAAGATAAAAGAAGAAGAAAAATAAACAATAAAAAAGAAGAATTAAATCTAAAAAAAATTTATATATGTAATAAATGATGTGATAAGAAAATTTTTAAAGTGACATTCATTAAAAATACTTATGATTTTAATTTTTTTTTATGTATAGTGATAGTAGAGTAGGTGGGAAGTGGAGATTTTGTTGCTGGCTTTCTTGTGATCTTTGTATTTACTATTACTTATATAATCCAGGTGAGTTCTTTTTTTTTTCTATTTTAAAATTGTTTAAAATTTGTAATTATTTATTTTATATTGAAATTTAATTTTGATCTTTATATTCTAGCAAGATAATTATTGTAATTATGCCCTGTGTATATCCTTTTTTTAGGGCTGTAGTTTATCAGAATAATTATGAATAACTGAGTCAATAGTTAATTTGTCTTAATATATAAATAATGATACCTAACTTAAATTACATACTTTATTATTTAAAATACTATAATGTGCATGATATACATGAAATTGTAATCTACGTAGTTATGAGCCGAAGTTGGATGAATGCACGTCGCATTAGTCAAGAGTACAGAAACGGAGTTGAAGAGTTCTTATAATTTGCTGTAAAATGGAAAACCTATCAAAGGGGCATATTATTGTCCATGTGTTCGTTGTTTGAATCAAATACGTCAGGAAGTTGGAGAAATACGTGATCACCTATTTATATTTGGTATTGTGAAGAGTTATACAATATGGACATGGCACAGAGAAATAGTAAACATTCCAATGGTGTCAACAATTGAAAATTTTGAAGGGATAGACGATAATTTAGAAGAGATGATACGTGATGTTGGTGAAGAAAATTTTGAAAGAGCACATGTGTATGATACCTTGAAGTCTAATTTTGAGCAACAATTGTACCTAGGATGCAATATATTTACAAGATTATCAGCAACTTTGTAAAGTTTTAACCAACATAAAAATTAAACTTCTACCAAACTTAGAACTTTATTTTAAAGATTTAAATACAATTAAGATTTTCTTTCTTGTTCAATTTTTTTGGTATTAAGTGAGATCATACGCCCCTTACACTAAGAACTATATATTTCAAACATGAAATTTATAAACTTAAATATTTATAAATGATCTAATAAATTTAAATTTAATTCAACTTTATAAAGTTAATATGAGATAATTTTTATAAATTAACCTATGTATAAATTAATTTTAACTTATGAAAAACTAATTTCATTTTATTTATAAGTACTTTTAAAGAAATTTATTCAAATACACTTATAGATAAAAATAGAAAGGAAGATAAAAGAAGAAGAAAAATAAACAATAAAAAAGAAGAATTAAATCTAAAAAAAATTTATATATGTAATAAATGATGTGATAAGAAAATTTTTAAAGTGACATTCATTAAAAATACTTATGATTTTAATTTTTTTTTATGTATAGTGATAGTAGAGTAGGTGGGAAGTGGAGATTTTGTTGCTGGCTTTCTTGTGATCTTTGTATTTACTATTACTTATATAATCCAGGTGAGTTCTTTTTTTTTTCTATTTTAAAATTGTTTAAAATTTGTAATTATTTATTTTATATTGAAATTTAATTTTGATCTTTATATTCTAGCAAGATAATTATTGTAATTATGCCCTGTGTATATCCTTTTTTTAGGGCTGTAGTTTATCAGAATAATTATGAATAACTGAGTCAATAGTTAATTTGTCTTAATATATAAATAATGATACCTAACTTAAATTACATACTTTATTATTTAAAATACTATAATGTGCATGATATACATGAAATTGTAATCTACGTAGTTATGAGCCGAAGTTGGATGAATGCACGTCGCATTAGTCAAGAGTACAGAAACGGAGTTGAAGAGTTCTTATAATTTGCTGTAAAATGGAAAACCTATCAAAGGGGCATATTATTGTCCATGTGTTCGTTGTTTGAATCAAATACGTCAGGAAGTTGGAGAAATACGTGATCACCTATTTATATTTGGTATTGTGAAGAGTTATACAATATGGACATGGCACAGAGAAATAGTAAACATTCCAATGGTGTCAACAATTGAAAATTTTGAAGGGATAGACGATAATTTAGAAGAGATGATACGTGATGTTGGTGAAGAAAATTTTGAAAGAGCACATGTGTATGATACCTTGAAGTCTAATTTTGAGCAACAATTGTACCTAGGATGCAATATATTTACAAGATTATCAGCAACTTTGAGATTGTTTAGTTTAAAAGCAAGAAATGGGTGGACTGATAAAAGTTTCACAGAATTGTTGGAGTTGTTGAAAGAGATGCTTCCAGAAGATAACATGTTACCTAATCCCAACTATGAGGCGAAAAAGATACTATGTCCAATGGGTTTGGAGTATAAGAAGATACACGCGTGCCCTAATGATTGCGTAGTGTATACAAATGACTTTGCTACATTGAAAGTGTGTCCGACATGTGGATTGTCACGGTTCAAAAAAAAACTGATGGAAATACTGGTGATGAAGAAATAGAGGGTCTCCCTGCTAAGGTGTTATGGTATTTTCCAATAATACCTAAGTTTAAAAGATTGTTTGCCATTAAAGAGGATGCAAAAAACCTCACATGGCAAGAAAATGGTAGAAAAGTTGACAAATTTCTTCGACATCCAGTTAATTCTCCTCAATGGAAGAGGATTGATGAAAAATTTCCAGAATTTGGTATAGAGTCAAGAAACTTGAGAATTGGTCTAGCTACAGATGACATGAATCCTTATGGGAACTTAAGTAGTAAACACAGTTCATGGCCAGTTTTATTTTTCCTCCTTGGCTATACATGAAGAGAAAATATATTATGTTGTCTATGATGATTTCAAGACCCCAACAACCAGGAAATGATATAGATGTGTATCTCAATCCCTTGATTGATGACTTGAAATTGTTGTGGGAAACAAGAGTGGAGGTCTTTGATGCACACCGTGAAGAAAAATTACTTTGTGTGCAATGTTATTTTGCACAATAAATGATCTTCCAGCATATGGTAACTTGAGCCGTTATAGTGTGAAGGGCCATTACGCATGCCCTATATGTGAAGAAAACACAAGTTATACCCAATTGAAACATTGGAAAAAGATCGCATACACTAGGCATCGCAAGTTTCTAGTTCGTAGTCATCCATACCGTAGATTGAAGAAAACATTCAATGGATGTAAGGAGGATGAAATTGCCTCGACACCGCGCAATGGTGAACAAGTATATGAGCGGGTGAAGAACATTAACATTGTGTTCGGAAAGACGCAAAAGAAGTCAATTGAGAAAAATATCTGGAAGAAACGATCAATATTCTTTAATCTTCCTTATTGGTGCAAGCTAGATGTTAGACACTGTATAGATGTGATGCATGTGGAGAAAAATGTTTGCGATAATGTAATTGAGACATTGCTAAACATAAAAGGAAAGACAAAAGGTGGAGTGAAAGCACGACAAGATTTGGTGGACATGGGTATACGTTCTGAGTTACATATTCAGTTTATTGGAAAATGCACTTACTTGCCTCCATCTTGTCATACTCTATCAAAAAATGAAAAGAAAAGCTTTTGTGAGTGCTTATGCAATGTGAAAGTTCCACAAGGGTATTCCTCAAATGTTAAGAGTCTGGTGTTTATGCAAGATTTGAAGTTAATTGGTTTAAAGTCTCACAATTGTCATGTCTTAATGCAACAATTTTTGCCTGTGATTATTCGTAACATTTTACCATTTTCTATTAGAGTTGCTATTACTCGATTGTGTTTATTCTTCAATGCCATTTGCAAGAAAGTAACTGACACTCTAAAGTTAGATGAGTTAGAAAATGAAGCAATCACAATCTTGTGTCAATTGGAAATGTATTTTCCACCTTCATTTTTTGATATCATGGTGCATTTGATAGTTCATTTGGTTAGGGAGATTCAATTGTGTGGCCCGATTTATCTTAGATGGATGTACCCTGTTGAGAGATACATGAAGATTTTCAAAGGATATGTCAAGAATCAATACCGACCTGAAGCCTCTATTGTGGAAAGGTATATTTCAGAAGAATCCATTGAGTTTTGTTTAGGGTAAATGTAAAAATCAGAACCAATAGGAATTTCTAAGACTCGGCATGATGGGAAACATTTTGGTAAGGGTACTCGAAGTTTAAAGATTAGAACTGTGAGTCGAATAGAAGTTGACTAAGCACATTTGTACATATTGAACAACACTAATGAAGTAATTCCTTACATATCGCAACACATACATGAAATCAAGATAACACACCCCCGAATGAATGCAAAATAGGTATTGAATGAACATAACAAGAGTTTCTTAGCTTGGTTTAAGAAAAAGGTTTACGGTGAGGTTAATGCTTCTGATACACTTTTAAGACTCGCTCGTAGGCCTAACAACGATGTCATTACATTTGGTGGGTATGACATTAACAAATATTGTTTCTATACAAAGATAGAAGATGACAAAAGTAGAGTACAAAATAGTGGGGTTACAATTCAGGCTGAGTCTGTGCATTTTGCTAGTTCTAAAGATAAAAATCTCATTACAACATCCATGAGTTATTTCAGAGTCATACAAGACATATGGGAAATTGCTTATGTTACATTTAGACTGCCTTTGTTAAAGTGTGAAAGGGTTGATGGCAATACAGGTGTGTGGACAAATGATTTAGGGTTTACTTTGGTTGATTTGAACAAGGTCGGTTATAAGGTTGAACCTTTTATTATGGCATATCAAGTAAGGAAAAATTTTTATGTCAGGGATCCATGTAATGAGAAATGGTCAGTGGTCCTCGAAGGAAGAACCATGCACGAAACTCACGAAGACGAGTCTCTAGATATGCATGAGACACCATCTTTCTCAAGTACATCATTTTGTGCTATTGCAGACAATGAAGTGGACGAAATGCATGCTATTCGAAGTGATCATGATGAAGGAATATGGTAAAACATACCAACCTAGCTAATAGGTTTGTGTTTGTGTATTAATTTGATACTTTATTTTTATATTTACATTATTAGTTATTTTGTTGTTATCTTATTATTATCTTTTTTACTTAATTTCAAGGTTATGACAGATTCGGGGTCCGATAGTGTCAGGAGGGAAGGTAGATCTGTCACCCGATTTTCTGGGTTGATAGTGAGACGCATTGCTAAGGTGAGGACACAGGTTGAGGTGGATCCCCGTTCTGGCAAGGCGTCAAGCCCAAATGCTGCAAAATTTAGGATCTATTTAGGAGTCATAGCTCGACGTGATGTTTCTATTATCATTCCATCATGGGATAATGTTGAGGAGGTTGACAAGAACCTCATTTGGTAGGATATTCAGGTATATACTTGCACATCCCTTCAATATTATAAAACTTAATTACGTTATTTATTATTTGTTGTTATTTTGATAGCAAAATTTTGACATTCCCAACACTGAGATCATGAGGAAGAAGATGTTATCTGTGTAACACCCCAGTTTTCATACTTTTTATGGAGGGTAATTTAGTAATTTTCATAAGATTTATTGAGGGTAATTTAGTAGCCCAGAATGAACCGTTCTCAAATTGGAACAGGTCGTTCCAAACTACTAAAAAGACCCATTTTTGGTTGCCCAGAACGGGTCGTTCTCAAACTGGAACGGGTTGTTCCAAACCACCAAAATGACCTATAACCCTAGTTGGGAACGTGCCGTTCCAAAGTTGGGAATGGGCCGTTCCAATCATGGACGTTGTGAGTTAAAACTCATCTCCATAATGGGTTGTTCTGGTTTGAGAATGGGTTGTTCCAGATGTGAATTTTCCACATGATGAAAGGATCCAGAAAGGGCCTTTCCGGATCTGAAACGGGTCATTCTAGCCACTCCTAAAATCTATAAATAGAGCACTCTGACAATATTCCTAAACACACTCTCTGGAGACCAAGGAGAACCAAGAGAAGGAGATCAACCAGATTCCGCTCTAGCTTTACCTTCTGCTTATCCAGGTAAGGGGGGAGTGAGAAACCTCGCTCAGGGGTCGTTGGGTAGTAAGATTAGCCCCCAATCCCTTGCCTGATGCATGCTTCTAGGAACAGGCAAAATATGAATGTTTTCTATTTTGCTTTCTGATTCTTCTGTTGTGTTCCTTGTTGGATGTAATGTATGAATATGTGATTGATTTTGAAAATGAATATGTTTTGATATGAATTAGAGTGCTCATGGGTTCTTGAGAGAACTCTATGAGAAATAGTCAAATTATGAATATTTTCTGTTTTGCTTTCTGAATGCTCTGTTGCGTTCCTTGTGTGATGTAGAGTGTAAATATGTATTTGATTTCAAAATTATATATGTTTTGATATGAATTAGAGTGCTCTGTGGATTCTTGTACGAAATCCTATGAGGAACAATTATGAATATGACTATGTAAAATATGAACAAATGACATGAGACATGATGTGAATGATAATGTGAAATGTGATGATATGAGACATGAAATTCCATGACAAGTGAAATGTTGAGTTAATGAAATAGTGAATGTGTGACATGCATCATGTGCATATATGATCTATTCTAGGTGTGTCGCTTATAGGCTGCACACCAGTGATGTAACCAGCTAACAAGGTGTACCTTAAGGTCACCAGTGATGTAACAAGTTATGTGATGAAATGACTTATTCCAGGTGTACCGCTTAGGCCACATACTAGTGATGTAACAAGCTGTGTGATGAAATGACTTATTCCAGGTGTGCCGCTTAGGCCGCATACCAGTGATGTAACAAGCTATGTGATGAAGTGATTTATTCCAGGTGTGTCGCTTAGGCCGTATACCAGTGATGTAACAAGCTATTCTAGGTGTACCTTGGGTCACCAGTGATGAAATGATGAGAAATGTGAAACTTCTGTATGGCGCCACATGCATGCATTTATGAGTTGAGTCCATGACATCATTGCATGATAAATGAGTGTACATGTGATATTAATTGTGTATACGTATTATTTACATGTGACTTATGTTTGTTGTGTGTGTGTGCTATCTAACCTTTATTTCTGCACCTGGAACCAAGTGAGATATTTTTCACTCCCTTGTTGTTCTTTGTATGTGTTTAAATTGTGTTGCAGGTGATCATCAGCATGAGGATTTTGGTGATGAGGCTTAGGCTTCAGTTGGGCATGCTTTGACAAGATATGTGACATCAAGGCTTAGCTAGGTTTAGCATTGGAGTTTCATTACTATTATTGTGTTTTGGAAAGATTGATGTTTTATTTTGTCATTATTTTCGCATTGGACTACCATTTGCGAAATATGAATGTGAACTCTCTATCTATGTGTTCTGAAACCTTACTTCTTTAAGAAAGTTTTATTTACTTAAAAATGTACTTTATATTTATTGTGTAGTATGTATGTGGGGTAGAGAGTGTCACAATCTACCCTTGCCACCAGATGGAGAGACTTCAAGACTTTCTTGACACAGGAGTATGTCTTTGGAAAACAACAAAATTAGACTCTCTGTCTAAAGTACTAGATTACTAACGAGGAGCAAATGCAATTTCCTGCTACTCGATTGGCCCCTTCTTGGCAGGTTAGTTATTGATAATTCTTACATTAACCCAAATAATTAAGGTATATTTTAATCTCATTTTCTTATTTGCATTATTGCAGGTCAAAAGACAAGCTGCCCAAGAACGACAAAGCAAGAATGATGCACCCCATCTATTGTCACGAGGGGGATATGAATTAAAAAAAATAAACTCATAAAGGCTAGGGCAGAGGCATCAGGGGTTGAGTCTGCCGACCTTCTAGATCCACCTCTTCGCTATGAGCTGTGGATAATAGCTCAAATAAAATCAGATGGGCAAATAACTTCTGAGTCTGCAAGGGTCATTGCTGATAAAATAGTAAGTAAAATTATACATACTAACACTCTTAATTTCAACTCATTTAATTCGTAATTGTAGTTTAGGGTATACTTATTGTTAATATGTTGCAGGATGGGTTTAGTTAAGCAGGCCACCCAGGGCTCATTTGTTCCCTATGGTCGGGATGATATACTCACAAAGGCCATAGGAAGGCCAGAGCACCCAGGGCGTGTGCGTGGTATGGTGGTTCTTGGAGGCTACGAGATTACTTTGGGGCACCACCACCGAGGAGTAGTACTGTTGACTCTTGCAGTCAGGAGGCTATGTAGAGAATGGAGATGCAATTTCAAGAAAAATTGAATAACATACGACAAGAGTTTGAGATTCTGGCTCGTTCTTAGCAACAACATGTAGTTGCTAATGATGGTGTTCGAGTGAGCAATAAAGGGAGTTGTGCTGCTCTAGATCCCTCAAGGGAACATACTCACACTGATGTACCAAACCACTATGAGTTATATGTCGAGGATGACCACCCAAGGCTAGTGGCTATTGGCCGAGTATTTGAGGGTGGCTCAACCATCCATGGTGTCCCTCTATAGCCAGACTAGACACAGGTTGTGGTTGACCATGTTCAAGATGCGGATGCTCTAATGCCTTTGCCCAATACAGGGGTTAAACTAGTGGGGTAGGCAACCAACACATTCTTAGCTTGGCCAAAACGTTTGGTGATGCCGTTTTCAGCACAGACAAAGGTAATTCTATTATTGGTCTTTTATATTCTTATAATTCTATTATTGTTTAACTAATTTTTATCATTTGTTTAGGATTTTATCAATCGTGGTAAGGAGGTCATGAGAGAACTTGTTATTCATGATGTTGATATCGCAGAAGCTAAAGATGATCCCATATCTAGGCTTCTAACCATATTACCACGATTGAAGAAGAAACCAATTCAATTGTAGTGGGACATTAGAGTTTTTGGAGTTGACAACTCTAGTTGTCCACTATACATATCCCTGCCCGACGCATTAGAGATTGTTGGGAGAAACTCCATGTTAAATATATCTATCATACAGTTGTGGGCCATGTAAGTGATATTTTCTTTTATAAGTCTAAAATTACAATAATTACATTTAACTTATAATAATTAATTGTGTTAGGTACATGGACAAATTGAGTGTGGAGCAAGCACAAGCACAAGTATATGGATTTATTGGGCCTCAATCCATCCAAAAATAAGAAAACACGAAGGTCTAGATCCAACAATATATGCAAACATGGATGAGTGAATCAGGAAGACATATATACTTGGCTCCATACATTGAAATGTTAGTTTTTTAACTTGTTTTTTAATCATGGTAATTTTATAACTAATTTGTTTGTCATACAATGTAGGCCCCATTAGCAGTTAATGTGACACCCTCTACCCCACATATCACAATACAAATAGTAAAATTTGGAATACCACAATCTTTCATTTTTAAAATACCAGACATGTTCAGATAGAGAGCACCACATTCATAACTTAAACAAATAACATAATCCGTGGTAATTATAAAAGAAATAAGGTTAAGGTTTTCAAAATAATTTAACAGAAACAACATCCTAATTTAATCCTATCTACGTCCCGATGTCACATGTCCTATAAGAGCAAATCCCAACATAGAAGCCTAAGCTTCATTATCAACATCCTCAGTCTCATGCTGATAATCACCTGTATGACAGTCAAAGAAAACAACACAAGAAAAAAAGGAGTGAGAAACATCTCACTCTAGCTCATAGTGTAGAAATATACGCCGGATAGCCAAACACAAACAAGACAGGTATAACATAGATAAATTAATAATAACATCACATCTCACTCATCCAAGACATATCAATTTTTCATATAACATTAAAATGCACATGTATAGACACAAACTACATTTTATCATGCATGTGGCGCTAGTAAAACATCACATGGCATATTGCCGCTAGCAATACACGAAGAGTAGTCTAAGAGTACATGCCGGGTCACACCCTCTATGCAGTGACGGATTCAGAAATTTTAGATAGTGGGGGCACTACTTATTTATATATTAATAATATTAAAAGTTTTACATAGAATTTTTAAAAGTATAAATA